CAATACCAAATCAGGAAGCTACAACTGTAGCTTCGGCTGTTAGTGATTTCTTTTTCAGACTTGGTATGCCATTCGAACTGTATTCAGATCAAAGCCATAACTTTGCATCAGCTGTGTTCCAAGAATGATGCAAGTTGTTTGGCATACGGAAGACCAGGACAATGCCACTTGACCCACAGTCTGGTGGGATGGTAGAAAAGTACAATTGGACATTTGGACAGGAATTGACAAAGTTTTGTAATAGCCACCAAGATGACTGGGATGTCTTACTTCCTCTACTGTTAATGGCCTATAGAACAGCAGAGCATGAAGCCACTGGATACACTTCAGCAAAGTTAATGTTTGGTCAGGAACTTTGGTTGTCAGTGGATCTGATAACAGAACGCCCACCTTACGGAGAGTTGCCTGAAAATGTTTCAGAGTTCGTGAAAGTGTTATCTGAAAGGATGGATGATATTCATCATCAAGTGAGTTCAAACTTGAAAACGTCTGCTGATTCGATGAAGCTATGTTATGATAAGAAATCTACTGAAGTCAGCTTTGTACCAGGAGACAGGGTGTGGTTGTATAATCCCAGGATGTCCAAAGGGAAGTCTCCTAAGTTGTCTTTTCCATGGGAAGGCCCATATGACATAGTGGATCGTCTCTCAGACGTGACCTTCCGAATAAAATGTGGTCGGCGAGGTAAACCAAAGGTGGTGCATGCCAACAAGCTTTGGCATTATCATGGTCCAGGACATTTCAGTTGGAACAAAGTGAACAATGGAACAGATGCTGCTGCTGAAGATGTGTCACCTAAAAAAGCTACTGTCGAAGAAGAAACTCTACCCGGTTTAGAGAAGGGAAACAGTGATGCCCTCAGTGAAGTTACTACCACTGATGTGACTGTTACCGATAATAGGACATTTCCTGATGGAGCAGATGAACCCCATGTGAAGCAGAAGCCAACGAGATAGAGATCAGTATGGAAAAAGATACATCCCGCAAAATTAAGAGACTTTGTTGAATTTTAATTTTGTGTTTGTAAATTCTGTACATTTAATTAAGTTATTGTTAATTATCTATTAGTTTAATGTAAGTGGCTATTGTTCGGGATGAACAATACTTAGGAAGGGGCAGTGTTACGATAGCGGAAGTCACGTGATGCTGGACGCATGCATGCATGCTTGGGTTTCTAGAAGGATCATGACTGTTCCTGGCAATTCTAGTCTTTTCTAGGCCCTCTTTTTTTGTATATAAGCCCAGCAAATAAAGCTGAGATATAATTGCAGATAGACAGATATAAAGACAGATAATTGAGTCAAGCGAGCAGTAGTGACCGTTAGTAAAGTGCGTGAATCGTTGTGAATTATAGCGTGTGTTTAAGTTAAAGTGACTGTGGAAATTAAGTGTATTGCAAAGTTGTATTGAGAAAGAAGAAACTAGTATTATTTAAGAAAGGACTTGTATCGCTTAAGTTCCTCGGGAAGATTTATACCGGAAATTAACAAACAACAAGAGACTTAACATAGGATATGATTTATGTATATTCACGAAATTTGGCAAGCTTCCAGTAAACGTTATAAGTCTTTTGTACAGAATTTTTGCTAAAATTAATGTTTTAATATATGGTTTTGTTTTGTTTTTAATTATGCACAAAGCTACACAAGGGCTATCTGTGCTCTGCCCACCACGGGTATCGAAACCCGGTTTCTAGAGTTGTAAGTTCGCAGACATACCGCTGTGCCACTGGGGGGCTTTAATATATGGAGTCAAAGTATCACTGCTCCGAGTGAAAAGCGATTTTTATGTTTAGATTAAAATACTTTTCTCCACCCAAAAATGAACAATTTTTTTTTTGTGTGTGTGTAATCTCTAAAATCTCCGAAATAAATTTCCAACTCTTTTTTCGATAAATCTTCATATTTTATCTTCTATATTCACTACCCTAATTTTATGTGAAGTCGGTCAGTTTGACCACCCTCGTAACTACTGTTGCGTCAGCGAGGTCACGTGACTAGTATCACGCCACGTCCTTCTCGAACCTTCATGAATTATCGGGAGACTACTAGATTGTGGGTAGTCTGGTATATATAAGACGCTCACAACGTGACGGAGAGGGCAATGAGTAATTAAATGTATGCGGACAAAATATTGTTGGCCACGTGAGACGTGAGTTATAGCGTTGTTATAGAGCGACTGTTGAAGTCAAGTGTATCGTAAAGTTGTATCCGGAAAGAATAAACCAGTTTTATTTAAGAAAGGACTTGTATCGCTAAAGTTTCTTCGGAAATAATTTTTACGGAAAATTAATTAATAAACGGAGACATAACACTACCATAAAAATACAAAATAAATCAAAATTATCCTTTTTTCTTTCTAGAATTACTTGAAATTGTAGTAGGAAACTACATTTGCTTGCGCTAAATATCTTAATGCTTTTAACATTATACACCTGTTTCTAATTAAATTCTATTGTTTTATTGCCCTTTGAATCGTGTTTTTTTTTTAATTCATGCAATAAAAGTTTCAAGTTATACGGTAACATGAAGCAAATGTTACACCAATCAAGTTACATAACGCTCGTGCTTCTCTCGGGCTGTTAGTCCTAGCGAGCGGTATCTTGTTAAAAATTATATTATCATTATTTTTATTTATTTTACCTAATTTAATCTTATATAGCCTAAATGGTTCTAATTTTTACATTTAAATTACTTTTATAATGATAAATAGAGAATAGATAAGAAAAATAAGGAATATAGCACTTACCTGTGTAATCTTTTTTTTGCCGTCGACTGTCCTTTTGTTAGTGTAAGCTGTAATATTTTATACCAATGCTACTACTACTAGTCCACAAAATCATTTTTTATTTAATTACATAATGCACCGAAGAACACAGAATAATACCACGATAGAAGCTGAGACTTTTTTGTAACTGTTACAATTTTTCTGGCTCTTTAAGTACTTACTAGGTACTTGAAAATATTTCTTCTGTCTTGTGTTAATGTGTATTGAGAAACTCCGAATTCAGAAATAATCTACGAAGTACAAATGATTAAATAAAGGAAAATGAGTATTGAGGACTATATGTTGTCTTCATTTCTTTTATCAAAAATATTACACGCAAAGTAACATAAAAAATTAACTAAAATGACAAAATAGACAGACAGATTAACTTTGTTTCATATCTCTTGTCTAGTTGCCAGTTAGTTGATCAAACCTGAGAATTTGGAAAAGCATTGTAAAGTGTGAAGTACTTAAATAAAACAATGTTAGTAATATAGATAATAAACTACGACAAGACTGTTAAACTTTGTAACAAATCGTTGGTAAAACTTCTGTATCTAGATACGTATCATATCAGCCCTAATATTTATACATGTATAAATACATTGGATAAAAACAAAAAATCTAGTGTTATGAACCCCATACTTTGATTTCAAAGATAAATCAGAAAATTAAGAAAACGTTTTTATGATCAATACACGACCAGCGTTTAGAATAAGCAATATAAATGGGTACCCAGGGCGCCAAATACTCGGAGGCTCCAGTATGAATATGGGCACAGCCTTAATTTCTGTTTAGTGTGCTAGTTAAACAATCGCCAGCAATATATCAATAAGATACATTTTCTTCATATAACACTTGGCCATCATATTTGGATTATACATTAGTAGGTACGTAAATACATATACCATGCGCTTTTCATTGTTGGCGAGAATAGTTCTCCGTCTTGAATGAATAACAAAAGTGTGTTCATTTGCGAGTAATACAATCTTAACTTTAAAAACACTAGATGACGCGAAAATCAACAACGCAGCATTCTACTGGCGACTGACGTGAGAGCGTTGCAACTTTGCGATTTTATCACTAGACGTGGCGAATTTGGGTTTCCTTGACAACAAAAGATTGTCAGAGCGACTACCGACAATAGTGATTTCAGTGAAACAAGTCACCAATCTGTATAATCACAAAATAACTCATCTGCAGTTAACTGTGATAAATACAATCCATGATCTTAGTACATTCTGTTGTACGCCATTTTTACGTTATTACGTCTACATAGCCTTAACAAGTTGTGATGTGAGACAAGCGGCACCTGATGACTGTGAACATTGTAGTTAGTTGAGGGAGTTCCATCCACACAATCCAGCTACATCCAAAGAAAGGGAATGGAACTGGAACAAGGATATTATGAAGATTTAGGTAAACCCTTAAAATTAAATGACAAACGCTTGTTAGAACGTAATTTACAGTCCAAAATCATTTTCAGTGTTCTCAAAGCCCATTTTTTAGAAACGTTTGGAGACGGGTTGAATGAGTATTAAAAGAAATGTTATTACAAGCTTGTCGAAACGTTGAACATTTCTAATAAAGTTTCTTTTACTACCCATTCAAGCCATCTCCAAACTAAATTTATTTTCAGTGTTTAGTGAATTAGTAAATATAGAAATTATATAATGCATTATTTGAGAAGTTTCTTCTCATTGTAACAAAAAATTACCATCCTATATATGTAATTTCTATAGAAGTATATAGAGGTTTGTTCTGTTTTATTGTTATTGAACTTTATAGAAATTTTGTTGATATTTTTGACACCTGTGGAATGTCTAAATAAGCGACATCTAGCGACTTTTCCAGGTTTCTCTGCCTGATTTCTGTTTTGTAGAGGCCGAGTGACAATTGTAAGTTAGATTTAACTACGAACAGTTCGATTCGGTTCACTTTATGAGTCGGTACGGAAGATTCGTTCGTTTGATTCGCTGAAATGAAACCGACACGCCTAATCTGAAGCACTTGTTTATAAAAGATTATTTGAATGGAAAATTACAAGATATACGAACGAAAGTTGTTTGGCTCGGTAGTTGTGTTTCATAAACAATGAAATATATGTTGACGAAATATTACATGTTACTAAAAATCCTGGAGAAAACATCAGAATATTAATAATTTAACGTAGTTTAGCCAACAGTTTAACAACCTTTAAACAAAACTTATCACTATAAGCTGGAGCTAGTGAACATAAAAAAAACAAAAACGAAATAAATATCGTAACGGTCATTTAAGCTTATACTACAGTAGAAGCAGTAGTAATAGTAATGCTGATAATGGAAATAATAAATAACGGTGACGGTAATCATTATTATTATTATTATCATTATTTTTTAATACCGTGAATATAATTGTTATAATGTTTTCAGTTGGAAATTCCAGAATGATTATTATACCAGATTCAAGTGTTTCTGAATCATCACATTATAATAGTATTGTACTGGTATTGCTATTATACAAGTACTGTATAAAAACAGTGTGTGTTCGGTAAAAAATACACGGTCGTATATCTATTATTTCATATCTCTTCCTTATACGTTTCCACAGTTTTTGATCAATCAGCACCAAACTTGACACAATGATAGAGGATCCCCCATCTTCTATATAATAAACGTCAATATGTGTGTGTGTATTTATTCCTTATACGTTTTCATATTTGTTTAACAATCAGCATCAAACTTGACATAGTGATACAGGATGACATTAGGAAGGTCGTGAGGGGCACCTAATCTCATATCTAATTTTCTGGAAAACTACCAAATCAATACAACTTGACACAGTGGTACAGGATGACATGAGGGGGTTATACCCCCACCTAATTTCATATTGATAAAATTCTTGAAAACACTATGTATTTCTTTTCAGTATTGGTATCTATGTATTTTTATTGCACTTTTAATATTTATTTTGTTAAGAAAACAAAACAAAAAAACAACATAAGCACAATTTCCTACCGTTGTTACAAACAAGTTTTTATTTCACTCGTCCAACGAACGGGTACTCTAGCTATTGTATCATAAAAACGGAATCTAGACTTATAATTATATGTAAGTTAAAATACTTGCATTTGACAAAGCTTTTTGCGTTATTGTGTAATTAATTTAATAGAAATAAGAACAATACATATTTTACCCCAGTTTCGATTGATGGTGGAGATGCAAATACTGAGTTAGTAGGTCTAACGGAATCTGTCTGAATTAAATAATTAAAGAATTACAATTATTGGCCTACTTTAGTTTTTGAAAGTTAATCGGCTGATTGCGCAGAATTGTGGTAAGTAAATCATAATATAATTGTAAAAGAAATTTTAACAAAGTTTATTTCTAATTATAATAGTTAAAAAAAAGACTCAGATTCATCTGTCGTTTCATACGTTTTTTTTTTACCAATATTTTTTGTGAAAATCACATCGTTACAAATCAAAGTAAGAAATATATATTAAAGAATGCATCATAATTTGAAACATCAATTAATAGGATGTAAAAATATCTGTTTAATTTTGTAGACAAAGCAGATTGTTTATGCAGACTTAAAGTCTAAAGTTTAATATTAATTACGTATTTTTAAATCATTATGTAATATATTTTGTTCACCAATAATATTGTTATTTGGTTTGTGTATTTTCAAAGACTAATAAAGTACAAAAACTCATAAAGAAAGGATTTAAAAACTACAGCAAAGTATTTTGTAGAAATTATGCTCACGTTTTAAGTCCTTTCTTGTATTTGTACTTTCCAATATTTCTTGTTTGTGGGGGGATAGGGCTGAACTTTCTTTTATCGTTACATTGCGTGGTAACATTCATCAGCAGCAGATCCAGAGGGCTCAAGGGGTCTAGACCACCTCCTTTGCAATGCAAAAAACAAAATTGAAGGAAACAGTAAAACGTTAATCAGAAATAAAAATAGAAATTCAAGTAGTAGAAATATACTTAATTATTTTATGGGATCAGTTATGTTTTTATTACTGTATGTAAAGCAGGTTTGGACCTTCTATAATGTGTAAAATGTTGAAAATAGTCATAAAGGATCCTTTCTTCCAAAATATGATGATCAATTTAAAACCCACTACACATCTCTGAAGGAACCCTTTTCATCAGTATGAGAATCAAACATACATTACTCTCTATAGCCTTTAAGTGAACAGTGCTAGATATGACTTGATTCTGGGGGTCACTTCAAGATTCTGGTTCTAACAGTCAGTTTCATGAAGGGAAAGATGTTCTACTGGTAGTAGAAAATATCGATCATTTGGATGTCTTATTGTTAATTTGCCAGTGGGAGTAACTGGCAAAAATCAATGGAAAGTCTTAAGAATTGGACTTAGATTTTAAAGTCTAAGTAAAAAAATTCTTAAACTTCTCAGAGAGGGCAACCCCCCTCTCAGACTCTCTGATATCCATTAATTTGGTTCCCCCTTTTGCAAATTCTTGTTCTACTTTTGATTCATATGTTTATAAGAAATGTGGAAGTGGTCAAACTTTCCTGGCAGTCAACCAGGCATAAAATTACAGCTTTATTTAAATAGAACTGTGAAATTATAAAAAATTAGTTTTTCATTACCTCACTTCTCATCAACTTTAAGCCCACACATAAGTAATTGTGTTAAACTAGCTCATGCAAGTACAATTTTCATTGGAACTATCTGCTAGTTTTACAGCTTAATATATTTGTAACCACCATACACAAGTTAGTATCATGTCAGATGATGCAAGGATCATTACTTAGTAGTATGAACACCATATTAAACTTTGTAGGGATCAGTGTTAACTAGATAATCACATGTTATTATCATATATACACATTTATTAAATTTGTTTCTACCAGAATATTTACAAATCACTTATTATATTATTGTTATCAGTTCACTGCTCACTAGGTTTATCACTACATTTTAACATAATCTAATGTTTTGGGACAACATGGGACTTATTGGTCCATCTCGGCTGTCCTTTCCTCTAAACTAAACTAAAATTATTAAATTAATTAATAAAAAAAAGAAAAATCTTAAAGCCAGCCCTTATCATTTATATAGATATCAAGCTTTTTCTTGAACTCACTTAAATCTACTGCCTCCACAACATCCGAAGGCAACCTATTTCAAAGGCCAACCACCCTGTTAGAATAATAAAATTGTCTTAGCTGAAGATGATTTCTACACTGCCAAAATATAAATTTGTGTCCCCTAGTCCTACTATTCTCACTGTTTAATATGAAAAAAGATGATGCATCAACACTATCAATTCCCTTTACATTCTTAAACACCTCAATCAGATCCCCACACTCTTCTTTTTCAAGAGAAAATAATTTCAGAGCTCTTAACCTGTCCTTGTATGATAACCCCTCCATCCTAGGTGCCATTCTAGCATCCCTCCTCTAAACCCTTTCCAATAATTCAATGTCCTTTGTAAGATAAGGAGCCTGAGACTGAACATAATACTCCAAATGTGGCCTAACCAGTGACCTGAACAATGAAAGTTTAGTACCACATAAAATGACCTAAGTATCACTGATTAATAGCTTTATGACACAGCTTTAGCACTGTATGAAGTATTGTACAGATCACAATGTATTAGATTTGGGAGTGTTAGTAGTGTAATATATGATAAATAGAACCATACCAAGTGATGAACAGATTACTGCTTAATAGGTTTGTTACTCTAGTGTACTTCTTTAGCAAGTGATCAGAATATCATAGCCCACTACTTTTGTAGTTCTTCTTTTGTTTATTATCAGATGACATTATTATCATCAAGTGCCATGCTTTGTAGCGTAGGTGATCATGTCCCTCCACCTTTCCCGGTACCAGGCACTTGTGATTACATCAGTCACCCTCTCTTTGTGTATCCAAATTGTTAAACTGTCCAGGATCTTCTCTCACTTTCTACCTGTACTTCTTTTCTCTACAAATTTCCCAGTTGTTACCAAGTGTTTCATCCCTCATCACACAACTGAAGAATGCTGCTTGTCTTTTTCATACTTTTGTTATCAATGCTCTTTTTGTTTATGCTTGTTGTAGAACTTCTTCATTTGTTTTTCAGTCTTTATCAGATGATATAAAGAAAAAAATATAACTTTACCGATACACTTATTTTCAACAGTCGCGCTATAATAACGAACGTGCTCAACTTCAACAATACTCTCTGGCTGCAGTTCAGTTACTCACTACACTGTTGTTCCGTCACGTTGTGACCATCTTATATATACCAGACCACCCCCAATCTAGCAAATGCTAGAGCACTTCCGAAGGAACAGGATAGTTCTAGAAAATAGGTGGCGTGACACTAGTCATGTGACCTCGCTGACGCAACAGTATACTATTAGATGTGTTAATTTCTGTTTTGGTTATGCTCTTTGCTTTATCAGTGACCAGAG